CACTGACGATTGTACCAGTTAAACAGATGGAGGCGTAGTTTGTGCTTTACGTTTTTAGCACCCGCCCCCCCCCCCCCCCCCGCCGTTTCCTAGACAGGGCAGTGTCCCGAGTGCTTGCTATTTCTAGTTGAAATTAGTGTTTTGCAGTATCTCCAATTTTCTAAAAACTGTCATAGGCCGAACAATTCTAAACTTGGCTTGATGTATGCTAGTTATGTATAATATGGCAATCGAGCTGGAAGTACAATCAAGTTAGGATAAACACATTTCGACATGTATTTTGAATATGTAAGAATGTATGATGGGATTATGCAAAGTCCATAAGGATACATGCTGGATGCTGGCGACATGCTATGCATGCACTACACACACACTGGAGCTTCTCGATATGTACTAAGTATAGCAAATATACGCTAGACATGGTCTGAAACAAGCTAAGGCAAAATTCCTTTCAATTAGGCCTTGAAGTTGCTTGTGTCCCATCCTTGACGAAGCTAGTTTACGCGTAATTTACACCCAGTCAGAGCATTGCCCTTTCCAAACTAAAAGGGTGGCAAGCTCCGCACTAACGGCAGCGTCTTGAGGCTCAATCCTGGGTTGGGGCGGTGGGGCAGCTTCCTGCATGGTTATAGGTGGCTTCCGGGGCTGGGAATAGTTTTGACTGAGTGCAGAGCCCACATTTTGACCAACAGAATGTTGTTTTCCGAGCCACAGCGTTTTCGTGGTCAAAACACCAATCCTGGGTTTGCGGGAGGTTCCGGCGAGCTTCCGGGCCTCATTGTGATACTTATTGTCCTTATCGTTTTTCTTGTTGTAAATAATACGTAGCCGACATTGTGGCTTAAATCACAGCCGCTAAATCTTACTTTGGAAGTTGACAGTTTGGCGCATCCAGCGGCTTCTTTCGTCGACTCTGCAGGAAGCACCTGACAAACTGAGGTTTGAGACGGCCAATGGCTTTGCTTGGAGAAATTGGAATCCATGTTTTGCTTGTCATGGTGGACATGCCCCAAGTTTTATTGATTCAAGGAGCAGAACGGAGGTGTTTTCCCATGAAGCTCAGGTTGGGTGAGGTTGGACAAGGATTTGTTGGGAGCGGAGATGTCTAGGCCCATCAGACGGAGTTGGACCTGCTGGCCGCAGAGCTGCAGCAGTTTCAGGCCCACGGGATCGGATCCGATCGAGGCGCCAGGCGCGTCGCTGGATCGATCCCATGTCTGATGTCCGGTTTGGTTTTTGAGAAGTTAGGGATGTTCCCAACCTCAAGACAATGACCCCTCGACCCCTGTTGGTGGATAGCAGCACATTGATTTTTCTTGTGTTCTTTGGACTAACCTTTTGCCCATGTATCGCCCACATAGGATGTGTAAATGATTGCAACTACACATAGACGTGCAATGTATACAATACTTCAGTCAGACAAACGTTTATGCTTCTTCGGTGTGGAAACCCTATACGGTCAAGCGCGGGCCGAATTGAAAAGCGCAATCCGTGTATCACGCCCTTTTTAAATGTATAGTAAAAAAGGCTTCAAGGAGTCCAAAATTGGACGGGCGAACCTGCGTAGGTCTTACCGCGTAGGATTCTAGGGGGAAAGGGCTGAAATTGGCTTTGAAAATTCCAGAGGCGCAACTTTGTCTGGTACATGGTCATCTCTGCAGGACCCACCAGTGAGTTGAAATATGTATGAATCAACTTGGTGCGGCCGATCACGTACTCGACATATGTACGATAATGTACATACACATGGCATCCCACCACCAAAGATCCTCCGTGACGCGAGAACTAAAAGAAAGAGAGCTCGGCAGTGTCAGAGCCTGGTCCAGCTCGGCGACCGTCTGTTTCGTTTCATTGTTTCTGTATTTCCCGGTTTTCACGAGGTGTGCTCTGTCTTTGTCGCTGCTCTCGAGGTGTTGTTTGTTTTCCGTTTTTTTCTGACGGTGTGTGTGTGTGTGTGTGTGGCTGTCTCAAGGTCTTAATCTGGTTCTCTCGGGCCTTTTTGTTTGTTGTGTTTGTGTGTGTGGCTTGTTGGTTTGTTTGGTTTTCTGGAGGATGTTCTGTATCATGGTTCTGTTTGCTCACCTGTTTTTTCCTTTCTCGTTGGCCTTGTTCAGGCATTATGATATTCAATCCAAAGCAGAGAGCGTGATTTTTTTTTGCCACAATCCAAATTGGCGTTAGCAGGTCTACTTGGAACTGTATTTGAAACGTTTCCGACAGTTGTGGGGGTTCGCCTTCATCTAAAACTCTACACTTGCCGCGTAAAACTAAGGTATGTGAGTGTTGCAATTCTATGCCCCCCCCGTATTCCGTGAAGGGTGGGCCCGGGAAGGGGGGGCAATGTAGGATAGCCATGTGCATAATAGCTTGCACTGCATGTCACGTGGACTGTGTAGCATGACATGTCTTTGTTTTGCATCTCGCAGTGGCTTTTACCACTAGCATACAGCTTGTGCCGCCATAAAACGTGTGGGAATACTATCAGGATCCATTCAGCCCACTTTACGCTACAGAGGGTGGAGGGGGGTCGTGTGTTGAGTTGCTTGGGAACGGTAGGAAGAATGCAGGGTAACAGCCTTGTAAGAAGCACCCCCGCTCTTGCTGCAACTTTTTTTGGGAGATCCCCTGACTCCAGCCAAGCGCTGAAAGCGCTTGCGGCATAAGTCTGAGGGACTGCTTGGCCTAAGCCCCAGGATGCTCTTTCTCCACAGACGCGCGATTGGTTGAATGCAAAGCCAACCTGAACTCGTGATGCTTGTGCGGAAAGGCAGGGACCTCAGTTCCTGGCGTACCGTGTGAAACACTACACCCTATACTGCGCCACAGGAATGCGCATTTGCATTTAGAGTCAATGCTTGCAATGACTACAGCAAGCGGAACTAACAAAGATTGATAGCTCGTTTGTTCCCAAACATGCGCAGCTGGGCGTTTAGCTCACGCAGCCAGTACTAACATATAGCTGCAAGTCAAAGTACGAACTCAGTGTTGAGTATCGCACCATTATCATGTGCTCACGTGCTCTAGTCTAATCTGTATTAGAGTTGCCCTGATACAAGCATTAGTAGACAGCTTAACACTCAGCAAGGTTTCAGACTGGCAACGGGAGGCCTGTTGAAGGACAAGGAGCAAATACCAAGCGTTAGGCTCGGCGATTGTACCCACTCACTACGAATGGTCGCATTTGCACGGGACAGAAGATATTGATTCAATGGGATGGCACGAAGGATTGGCTAGAATGACCTTGAAGAAAACTGTCCGAGTCTTTTGGAGTGACAAGTGCTTGGCCAGGAAGAGCAAATGCAGCTGGAAGGCCAACTTCGGCATAGCGAGGCCAGAGGGAAAGGCACCTTGGGGTTTCTCCCTTCCCATTTGGTTTCAGACTGCGCCCCACTGAGGTAGCGGCTTTCCTTGTTGTAGTGGTGCCCCAATAGGGTTTGCGAATTAGGATTAGCCTCCTGTTCCGAAAACAGTCATGAAGAAACAAATTGTCAGAGGTCAGCAAGTTAGGCTACCGGACATAGACCCGGATGTCGGTCGGTCGGTTGGTTGGTGGTGGTGGTTGTTGTGTTTGCTCCGCCACAAGCATCGCCATCCCGATTTCCATCTCAAATTTGGATCTGCTCTTGCATGCTCAAAAACCACCTACCTTTTGACCTCCTTTTCCATGGATCCAGTTATTCTCCATGTCCAGTCAAGGGCACTTGTACTTCCAGGCCCTTTGGGCAGTGCGCCCTTGGTCATTTGTGACTAATATCATCCTGGCGCAGTAGGGTGCACAATTGGGCATGAAAGTGATCCAGACCGCAGCCAATTTCGTGCCCAAAACGTGGACGTGCCGCCGCATGCGCAAAGAGTTTGGGTGCTGCGCTTCTCTGCACGTGCGAGCTTTTCTCCCTGCAGGGGAGCGGGGGCAGGGTTGAAGGAAGCCACGCCCCATGCTCTCGGTGCTCAAGAACAGTGTGGTCTCAGAGGCAAAGTCGGGCAACATTTGCCTGTCAGCTGCTTATTCCAAGCATTGCTTCATTCTTTAAATATAAACATCATGAAACCCGGAAGGGTCCTGAGTGCCATGGAATGCACGTCAGTTCCTTGGGTTCAATCCTTTGGGGCGTTTTCCTTATCGCCGCGCATTCTGCATTCATTTGCAGCGGGGGCTACAGGCGAACCTACACCAGGCGGAGCTGCGACAGCGGGAGCTGGACTTCTACGTTGGCAACTTCTGGAGAGGGTTGATGGCTCAATTTTCCCAAATCTTGGCTCCCAGTCCGGTTTTCCTGGGCTTTTTCGGCTAGTGTTTAGTGGGGGTTTCCATTTGACCCACGAAAAGTTAAACTTTTGGCAGGGGATCTGAGGGCAGCCCAGAATTGGCACCCAGGTAAATGGAGAATAATCGAAGAAAACCAGCGGTTTTCCCGGAATTCACATGGGGGGGGTCACGTACAAGGAGCAAAGCAGCGGGCTTCCGGGTCCCAGAGCCCCAATCGAAGCCCATGTCCAAAAGCAACCGGAAATCAGCAGTGTCCTCTATGCCAAATATGTTCGGTGCGGGCACTTCTTAACAATTTGCAGACCCTGATCTTTGGCATGGTTTGGGAGACCATAGCCATTTACAGTATTCTATGGGGAACCTTTCCTGGATACCGAGAGAGAAGGAGGTGTCGCAAGTGTCGAAGGGAGAAGGTGTCATAGAGGAAGCTTGTGGTTTGGGCCCCAACAATGAACGTCCGATATGCTTTTTCCTTTTTGGTTTCCGGTTCCCTACTTGAACACAAGCCCGTCCTGAAGGACCTATTCCTAGCAAAAGACTTCTTCAAGGCCTGGGCCAGAGAAGGATTTCATTTCAACTCACCAGGATCTGAAAATGAAAGGCAAAGCTGCTGGGACCTTGACAAATGGTTTTGCAGGTTGAAACAGTTGAGAGGCCTAGAAGGTCCATTGAATAAAAGAAAAACACGTCTCCGGGTGCAACATGAGACGGTGTCATGTACCCTCCCTCCAAAGAGATGTCTCAGACAACAGGTCTTCAACCATGCTAACATACGGGGTTGGCCGAGACTCCCTTTGCAAATCACAAGCGTCAAAACCTGTTAAGCCAGCATGAGGCTAGTTTCCACCCCAACTGCACTCACTCGGTGGGAAGTCATGCCAAGCCAAAACGAAACTAAAGAACCACTTTGAACCTCTTGGACGCCATAGGAAAGCCCCTGGAATCGCAAAACCCTGGGAAGCCATCCTATCCGCCCAGTGGCTTGGAGGATTTGGGGGGGCACCACGGTGATCCTCGCGGGCTTCGCCTTGGCGCAGCTCACCCGGGAGATCCCCAAGGGCACACCCCTGCTGCTGGAGCTGGCCTACTTGGCCTCCACCGCAGATTCTCGCGCTGGGAAAAAAAAAAGCGAAGAAAGAGCCCAAGAGCCACCCCAAAACGTGGGCTGACAAAGGTGGGGGGGGGGGTTCGCTGGTTCTTTGGTGGTGGGTTTTAGTGTTTTCCAATTGTTTGATGGCTGGTTCCACCGTTTGATTCGTTTGTGTTGGTGGTGCCACATAATTTAATCCTTAGCGGTTGGCCCCACTTTTCTCAGTTTTGGTTGGAGTCTACCTCTTGTGTTTGTGTGCGTGTTGGTGGCATTGTGCCGCATCAACATTATCTGAAGCAACAAAAAAAGGGTGTGCTGTTTTTTTTCCCCCTCGCAGCTAGGTTCCACCTTGTTTGCTGTTTGTTGTTTGGTTCTCCTTTTAACCACCAACCAACAAACACATGGGTGAGTTTTGAGGGTACACCTGTTTGGGGGTGGCTTGAAGAGAAGGCAAAGGGAAATCAGCTCCTTCTTTCCTCTTTTTTTTTGGCGGGGGGGCGGGTCACTTACTTTATACCCATGTTGCAACGGGCTCTCCAGTGCTTCCCTGCAACCTGAAACCTCCCTTGTACCTGGTGTTGAGAGGAGCAAGTTGCAAACCAAGCATGATAAGGACCTCATTTCATTCTGATTCACCCGTTTGAGTGAGTGTTTCACGAAAGTCTCCCAAATATACAAACAAATCAAATCAAGATCTGTCAGAGCATGCTGGACCCTTTGGGGGATGTGTTTGAAAGCAACATGGACACCAACAAGGAAACCTTTCGCAGCAGAACAATCCTCTTCGTAGGGGCAACTTGCCACTATTTCCAGCATGGAAATCCAAAATCCGCCAAAACTTGGAAGAGGTCCCTTATACCTTGTATGGACGTAAGTGGTTCAAAATGGCTCTTTTGGTGCATCCTCACAAGGTACCCAAAAAAACGTAGATATATGAAGACCAATGGTTGAAAAGGATTGGGAATCAACCCTTCCACTCTTGTCCCATTTTCAACTAGCACCCTTTCTTCAGCTCAAGCCGGTTTTCGAGGTGGGTGTATGTGTATTTTGAGGCTCGGTCCCCCTTTCAGCTTGGTTCGTATAGTGAAAAGCAAGCCAAAAGAGGACCATATTTTTGTTTTTTGCTTGGCCAAGCTTTTCGAATTTGAGTCAAGGACAACCAAAAGGCCAGCCATTTTGGGGGTCACCGAAGAAGGCACGCCCAGGTATGCCTGAGCCTGGACCTGTGCATCGTCACCTGGACGGTGCTGGTGTGTACCTGGGGCCCGGGGAGCGCCTTGCGGGGGCCGAACGGAATGAAATCTTTCCATGAGACCTTGGCCCTGCTCAAGGAGGACGCCGATGGGCTACTTAGTACTTGTGTTTCAGGGTACGGTTCACCCCCCTCAAGAATGGCAAGGGCCTAGTCTAGATAGTGAAGCTCTTTAAGCAATGGTCTTATCCACCCACATTGCGTCATGGCGACTAGATGGCTATGAGTTGTAAGAGTTGGAACCGCGCCAGTTTGGTGGTTGGTGGATGAATCCCCACCTAAATGATGTCCACCAAAGTGCCCCAAATAAAGTTCACCCCCATGACACCCGAGAAGCGTTGGGGGCTGCTACCAACCCCAAGGTGCTTTGGCACCTTCTACATTAGAAGTGTGTGAAGCAGACTTAAATGAGGGTTTCTCAAAGTAGGATGTGGCCCATTTTAAGATTGGCGCCCATTTTCCCCATATAGCTGAAAGCTATAGGGGTTCTAACTTTTGATGAAGAGGGGAAGTGATTTGCAAGATTGACCGCCGGGGTACTAGGGGGCATGCAGTTTGGGGTGCTGGTAGGTACTAGGTGACATTCTTGCGAGATTGATGGGCAAGGTGCTCGGGGGCATGCAGCTTGGGGTGCTGTGCAGGTGTTGCTTTGGGAGGTTTGGGGTGCTGTCCGGGGGTGTTGTTGGATGCTGGTGATGGCATAGGCGCGTTTTTGCAAGATTGACGGCAGGGCTACGGGGCATGCAGCGCGGGGTGCAGGTGCAGCTTTTCGCTGTCTGGGGTCTATGCTGGTGTAATGTTTTAAACACAAGCCAAAGGCATTGAGAAACTCCCAAAAAGGCATATCCAAGCGTCCCCCCCCCAAAAAAAAAAACAAAAACTACAGAATGAAATCTCGGGTCCCTTGAAGTGAGCATTTTCAGGGCTGTCAAGCTTACTCTTGGGGTTGATTTCACTTGGTACCATTTAGACTCAGAGGGTACTTTAAGGAAGTTACTCCAAGGGACCCACAGATCACCAGGAATATGACCAAGTGACGAACCATGCCGCACCACGATGCCTGGGTGATCCGAAATGCTCATGCGTGGTGTTTGACCGCTTATGAGTTGACTTTGGCTAGAAACGTTGTTGTTTTTTTGCGTGTGTCATACGGTTGCACCTTCATAGAAACGCGTACCTTGTTTTGAGGTGACGTGTTGACTGCTGCATTCCTTTGTCGCTTTAGATTTGTCAGCCCCCAGCCCATTTGACAATCCCACTGGACACATCCAGGAGCAGCTCTCCATTTACAATGCCTTCGTAGTCAGCATCGTGGCCTATTTCAGCTCATCTTGCTGCCTTCTATGGGTGTATCCCAGTTCTGCCTATATGTCTGCAGCCGGGAACTGCGTCTTGCTTGCGTCCCTGGGGGTTCTCTTGCGCATGCTGCATCGACTGGAGCATCAAGTTGGTGTCCTGGGCAATTCCCATGACGATGATGGGCGCATCAAAAGTTTCACTCCGCTCGAGGGCATGGCTGATTTGGACCAAAGTGTCTAAGATCACGCCCTGTGTCCATTCAGGGATGCAAATGCCACCAAGCTCTTTGCAGCTCCGGTCAGAAGCATGCTGAGAAGTGCTTGTGTCCTTACAAGGGGGATGCGTCAACACCGGGGACCCTTTGTGGAATGGTTGAAAGGAAACCAATGCACTGAGCTGGTTTTGAAACAGTACATCAAAGTACATGAGGTTCGTTGGGAGTTTCTTGGCCAGCCCTCAGAGAGACCGGCCTTTGGATCCGCGACGGCTTGAGGCAACACGCGTGTCAAGGGGTCCCTGGATTCCTGAGGATTCGCTTAAGGATCCAAGAAGGGTCATTTGGTGCGTTTTCACTGCGTGGCATGGCACCCTCAGGATGTCTCAGGATAGGTCATGGCTTGAGGGATCCTCTCTTCACAACAAATATGGAGGTGGTCAGAGGCCTTTTCGAGACAATGTAAGCTGTAGGCTTCCAAAGTCCTTTTTGTCCACCTGTATGACCTGTATGATGTGCATGTCGCATGTGAATGGCGTAGTGGAATCCCTTGAACTCGTGCACGGGCTATCGGCAACTCACCAATTGGTTGTGTGGCTGCTGCTAGACACTGCAAACAGAAGGCTTGTCTAAAGAAATGCAGTTTGTGCCGCAAGAAGCCAGCAACGAAGTCTTATTGCCTCGGGTTGTCAAACATGGGTGCATTTTGCCGCTTGGGTTTATGGCTTTGCCACTTTCAAATAGATACCATGTTAAACCCCGGCGGAAGATTATGTAAGGTGCATGCAGTGCATGCATCCATTTGGCCACTTTGGTCCGAGAAGCAAAGCTGGTGCCATACGGGGCATCGAAGGACATGAACCAGGTTGACTAGCTGAACACAACAAAAAAAAGTCCTTGGGTCAAAGACTTGGGTCACGGGGGCGCAGCCAGGGTTCCACAGCACTCCGGGGTGGGATTTATGGCAATGGGCCCACACGCCCCACACCCCCACACGCCCCACAAGCCCACACGCCCCACAGCCCCACACGCCCCAGCACCACATCTTAGGCCTCTTCACTTTCAGGGCTGTTGAGAGTGACAGGAGCTGGAGCCCCTGCTGCGGGGCCGCCTGGAGGAAGCCGAGGCTGAGGTCCTGGAGGACCGGAAACTGAGCGGAAAGAGCTGCTTGGGGTTGGACAAAAAGGGAAACGGAACATCCTTGTTTGGGTATGGGTCCAACTTCAACCACACCGCCGGTTTGTTTGTGTCCTTGGTTCCATTTGCCAGGGTTCCATTTTGGGTGCCTATTTTTGACCCACAGCTACCTACTGGGTCAGCCTATTTTAAGACACTTTGTTTTGCCGTTTGGCCTTGAATCAATTAGGTAACCTTTCATTTGTGGTTTGGATTGGTTTGGGGACGTGAACCCTGGCTTTTGTGGCCCCAACCCCCCATTATGGAAGGCGATGCTTTCTGCTGGATCTTAGGTGAATTGCGCTCGGCACTTTGTGCTGCATGTGGCCTATGAATAGAATTGCGCATCATCTTGTTGCCTCATGATTAGTGTTGGTATTATTTACTCACTGGAGGCTTTCAGAACAAATAGATCATTGTTTGGGACGAATGCAAATCGACCAAAACTGTGAAAGAGTCAGATTTTGGCAACATGCACCCCTTTGGAAGTTTTGGTCGGACTCGAATGTTTACGGTCAACTACTGCCCTTTTTTGATCAATCGAGTTCAAGCAGGGATCTGACTTGCTCTCCAACAAAGCCTCTGGTACTCGTTGGGAGTTGCTGTAGCCTGTCGTATAAGAGCAGTTCCAAGTTGTGTTGACTGGCTCACTAGACAAAGTCAACGAGGGTTCAATTTACAAGGCATCGACATCTTTAGTTCGAGCAGTTTCTCGTTTGGTGTGTCCAGGTTGGGATTGTTTTTTTTTTGTTGAAGGAGTCTTTGAGTAATGCCCTGTGATGCGTTATACAAGGGGGCTAAGCCTCCCAAACTTCAGTTTTGATCCAGCTGTCCGCAGTGCCCCCGAGTAAAAGAGGGGAAGCTGCATGTGAATGGCCAGGGTTGCTCTATTCACCCTTGTGGCCTACGTGTTTCCTTTCAGCAGGGGTGAGAAAATCGGAAATATAGGGAGCCGAGGGACATCCCAGAAGATTTTCTACAGGAGTCCCGAATGGGCCGGCGGGCGCTACAAAGGCAGCAGCGGCAATACCAGGCAGCCCGTGTGACTTGGGTTGGAAGTGAAGTGAAGGCCCCTTGACGATCTCAAATCCCAGTTGCCACACTTAGTGCCAGAAGCTTGCTGCACATTGTGCATCTTTGGGCCTTCCCTTTCCGCTTCAACTAACAATTGTCGGCTTTTGCTTCCTGTGGATCTCGGTTGCCACACTAGGTAAGCAGAAATTGCCCTTTGGGTTTGCACGGTAGAAACCGGAATTCCAGCGTCAGGGATCCTTGCTACCGCGCGCATGTGTGGGGGTGGGCGTGCGTGCGTGCGCGCGTGCGTGCGTGCGTGCGTGCGTGCGTGCGTGCGTGCGTGCGTGCGTGCGTGCGTGGGTGGGTGGGTGGGTGGGTGGGTGGGTGGGTGGGTGGGTGGGTGGGTGGGTGGGTGGGTGGGCGTTTGTGTGTGTGTGTGGGAGTTTATGGGTGTTGGAACCAAAGGGTCTTACGTAGACCTGCTCGGACTTTGGGGGCAGCCTCCAGAGAGAACCATTTGTCGGTCGGATGAATTTCCTTTCATGAGGACGTCTCCAAGTTCTGGTTGTCAAACTCTACGCTGAGGGTGCCTTTGTATTTCGTGGCCTAAACATGTGTCGCATTTCGTCGCACTTACAGGTGCTTGCTCACTGTTGAAAAGAGAACCACTGATGAAGCTTGTAGATCATTCCTTGCAACAAACCACAACCAGTAGAGTGACTAAAAGGTCCAGCAATGTTTTCCCGAATGAGGTCCTGAAGTTTCCGGTGTTGGCCCCATGAAAATTCCGGGTTGAGATGAATCCTGCGTGTATGCCTGGAGGTGCTTGCATGCACAGTATGTTTCTGTGGGTTGACATAGACTCCTCAACGTATCCTCTCGGAGTCCAACATGAACCCCCCGTTGGAGTGCCACCTGAGTTCCGGCATCCTTGCTGTTTCTTTCTCGTTTGCAGCATGGCCGCCAGGAAGCCATCATTCATCCTTCTTTTTTGAGGAGCCTGTTCGTCAGGTGTGCGGGTGGGTAAGGCGTAATGTAGACTTGTGTGAGGTCTTGTGACCTGTAACTCCATCCGTCACTGGCAACCTTAAAGTCCTTACGCCGTCCTTACGCCAGATGGTGGTCGCAACTGTTCTAGTCGTGTCCCACTGCGGACTACGGATGAGGAGTACAATGTTACGTGGCCGCTGAGGGTAGTACATGGTAGTTCTATTCTTGTCTTGCGAGTCCAAGGGGCGGTCGCAAACCTGTAGCGGACACTGATCATGGCTCTAGATATGTGCGGCGGTTTGTGCAATGATGTCATGTGCAGAAGGACAAGTGCTGAACGCAGACCTTAGCTACAAGGTACAGTCTCATTATCACAGCCTGAGGAGAGAGTCCGGGCGTGAGAAGTGTCGAGCCTCCCTGGGCCTTCGGATGTGAGGGAATTCAATCACTGTGAAAGATAATGCCAAGCAACTGGTCCTTTATACTTTCGAATGTGCATCTGAAATATGTGATGTTTTGGGGCAAGTTGGTTTGCGGCTAGGAGTTGGACACGTCCCATGAAACGAACCTCGGTCTAGGTTTATTCCTTTGATCCGCTCCAACCTGCAGGCCCGCGAGCGGGAAGTGGAGCTTGCCGGAGCCCCGACGCTTCGGAGCCCTCCATGAGGTCAAGTTCCTGAGGTCCCATCGACGGTCACATTTAACGGCATCCACGAGAATGGCATACGCCAAATGTCCACCAGGAAATGGAGGTTTACCAAAATGGGGCACCAAAATCATCAAGCTTCACTTGACCGAGTTTCCTTCAAGTCCAATTTTCAAAACGAAGGAGCTATCTCACCAAGGCTCTCCGAAATGGAGATTGACTCACTCAGATTACTGGGACCAATGTCTATGAGACCATATCGATTGACATCAAAGAATCGGGGAGTCAAATATCGGTCAAAGAGGGTGCACCACCTTCAGCCCAGAGAGAAGGCATACTCAAAGCAGCACACTGAGCATCATTGGACCCTCCATGGGGGAAAGGCATTTCCATTAGAAGGGTTACCTGCAAGAGTTGCATTTGTTGAGGTCCCAAGACTCCTACCCTAAGAGTCCGCTGCTACCTTACCAACAGACTCCAAGACTTCAAGACCCATCAGCGGTTCCCCTTTCGCCAGTTTCCCAAATCCAAAACGGGACAGCGGCAAAATGGCTGTGGGTCAAAACTCTGTACCCACAGTGAACATCCCAATCCCCACTATAATAGGTTCTAAAATGGGTGGTGCACCTACCAACCAAAATGGGACCCCATTAGTTTTGACCCATGGCTAAATATTTGTTTCGCTTGAGGTGGCGGAGGAGAGTGTGGAGCTGCAGCGACTCGGGCAGCAGCACCTCGAGGAGGCGGAGCAGCGCATCGCCGCCTTTGGCTCGGATTGCCGACTTTGGTGGTAGACTCAACCTAAAAACTCTAGGGAATTGGTTGAAGTTACCCAGGCTTTCTCAAGTTTAGCAACAACCACGAGTATTTCATCATGAAAACATTGAAAACAAATATCAGAAACTCAAACAATCTCTAAACATCTCAGAATATATCATACGAAAGCCTCACTGATCTGAGCCCTCCCAGATCTATGCCTAACATGGGTTTTGATGATTTGTACTAGCTTCACAGGGTGGCCCTTTTTCAGAACAATGCTTTGTTAGGCTCTTTGGATGAAGCCAGGGGACGGGGGGAGATGTGCGAGGATTAGATCCATTCATCAGACGGCTTCCATTTCCCCAACGTTTGCAAGCCAAGAGGCCGCTTTAAAACAGGGGGACCAGCCACAAAATGGTTTCCTTTTGGCTTCCTTTTGAAGACTAAGCTCAGAACGGCACCTGCCCGTTTAGAACCAAACTACCCACAATGGCGTGGCCTAGCAGGAAATTTTCATGACTTGTAAATGACGACTCCGGTGCTTCCAGGTTTCCATTTTTCGCGGGTGTTTCCCTCAAAGCCAGCTAGCAAGAAAAGGGTGTCCTGTTTCCCCAAGATGCGCCCATCTAAACAGGCCCTTTTGGTGCCTTTGCAGGTTTGAGGAGAAAAGTAGCATCGTGTCAAACCCCCTAGTTTTGCCATTGGCTAAATTGAGTAAGCCCAGGAAGTACCGAAACCTCTCGCCAGAACCCTCCCGGAACACAGGATTGACGAGTTGACTCCACAGTTGTTGCTCAGAAAAAACTGACGGTTTTATGCATCACCCAATTGCAATGGAAGCGTCTTGGTCACTACCGCTTGTTTCCTTCCTGCCTTTCAAAAGGAACCCAAGCAGCCCAAATGGAAGGGCTTACGCAAATCGCTGCATCCGGTGGTGGGTGTTGAGTTTTCCGGCAGCATCTACCATGGGAAGGTCGTACCCTTGTTGTTTTTCTGGCCATGCGACGTTTCGCGCGCAGGTTCGGGCCAAAAATGCAGCACGCTGGTCATTTAGGGAACCAACGACATGGGCGTGCAAACAGACATGGTTTTGCTAGGGCGCGCCTCAACATGTTTGAGGCGCTTCCAACAGTGCCCGGAAATGGGTCATAATACTTGTGGCTTAGTGTTTGTCGACATTCCGATTTGCGATCCGTTCTTGGACGTGGAAAGGGCTGAGATTGGGAGGATTGCTTGCATGAGATGCGCTTATCATAGAGCAGCGCTTCCTAGATTTGAGAGGCAGCTGGCCACAAGAGGGGGGCCCCTACTGCCCGTCTTGAAGACCTTTCTGAATATGGACGTCTAATCGGCAGAGCTGCCCACACCTGGCATTCTGTGCCCTCGGTGTACCTTTAAACTCTGTTTGTGTTGTTTGCAAGCTCTGGGCTCTGTTTATCAATAGTGTGTGTGTGTGTGACGGTTTACATGAGTAAAACTTGCAGGATGCCGCGCCTTGATCTCGAGCTATGATGTGTTCTGCACAATTCTTTGCGAGCTCGCGCCTGGAAAGAAAATTAAGCCATGCAGGTCCCCTTGCGGCTTCGAACATTTCCAGTGTGTAAATTATAGTATGTGTTCCTATGTCCAGTCTAATCTTCGATTGTGAACTTGATAGATAGTCATTCTTGATTTCCAGTTTATCGACTTTTTCCAAAAGCGATTAAATGTGGATAAGGCCTCCAGCCTGTGACACTGAGGTTGTGCAGGTTGTGGGGCCGGGCGAAGGCGGCCCGGGAAGTGGGCAAGTTTGTTTTCACTCGATCAAAGTTTTGTCGGCTTCCTTCGGATGTGAACCTCCCCAACAAAGCATGGGGCACGGTTTCTTTGTTGTTTCCCTATCCCATGGCTACCCCTATCCCAAAATGGGATATGTTTCCTGACCTCCCCACCCAGGCTGCGTTTGGTTGGAATTGGAGTGAGGTCACCAAAGAGCAGCTCCAGAAGGCCGGAGAACGCCGATTTCGGATCGCATCGTTTGGTTGAAGAACGCGGGAAGTGGTCTCATGGCTGACATGGAGCTCGCCCTTGAGAGGGACCGGTCCCTTCCCATGTTCCCATTTCCCACCACCAGCACGGTTTTTTTGGTACCCTGCGACCGAAGGACCCCTATCTTAGGGCCCCTTGCAGAAGGTAAGCGACCCGAAGGGACTCCTGAACGCGGCTTGTTCTGCTTTCGGCTCTTTCACACGGCTCAGCATGCTTTGTCGTGTGTTTGGGTCTCTATGTTTTGAAGGCATAATTACAAACTTTCAAGGTGCATGTTAAAGTTGCCCTACCGATACCTTAGCTATGAACAGGAAGCAGGGCTCTTCTTTCAGCATTTCGTCTGAAAACCCATGCGGATTTTGCTGCGAATAGTTGTAGATCTGCTTGCCAACTCAGGATATAGCCAAAGCTCCAGGGTTTGTTACCTGCTGGGCCTCCACTTACAAACAAAAAGAAAGGCTTCCAAGGAATCAGCTGACAAAAAGGCATCCGTAAGAGCTGTCCGTGGTGAGAGTTTGCCGCTCCGGAGGGATCGGGGGATTGAGCCCTAGGCTCGGGAGGACAAGATGGCAGAGCGCCAGCGTTTCGAGCGCCAGCCGGGGCCATGGGGATGTGCTGGGGGCATTCTGAGAATATATATATATATACATATGTATAGACACACGTGTATGTATATATATATATATAGTCATATCTGTACATATCCTACCCGCCCCCCTCCCATTGGCCCATGGACCTATCTTGTTGTTGCCTCTCCCATCTAGGACAGAACTAAGGATTTCTCAACTAGGACTGGACCAAACTAGGACTAGACGATCCACAGCAAACTAGGACCAACCTAAGACTAGAGTCAAGGATCTCTAAACTAGGACCAAACTGGGCCTAGACTAGTCAACTCTGTTTCTAGAGTATTTTGATTATATTATTTGGATGTGAAGTATTACATTCTATTTGTGTATCATTTTGTTTGAAACCGGAAAGCCAATGTTTTTGAAATCAATATAAACTGTAAATTGTGGCTGGATTGTTTCCTCATTTAAATGTACGTAGTTTGAGGTGGCAGTTACATAGAACTTGATGCCTATATTAATATCAAGTAGAATTCACAAGCAACTTCCTGTGTAGTGTCCTTTATACTTTCTAATTATTTCAGTAGGCTAGGACCATACTAGGCCTAGAACCAAGGATCTCCCAACTAGGACTAGAACCAAACTAGGACTAGACAATTTAACTCTAGTTCTTATAGTGTTTGAATTTCCAATATAATATTCTATTGGAAAGGAAATCTTGTGTACCATGTAATTTGACATAGAACAATCAATACGAAAGTCTAATTTAAATCAACATTTTGACTGTAGTATGTCCTTCTCAAACTCTATTTAATTTGAATTAGAAATTGGGTCGAATCTGATAAACATATGAAGTTTAATTCATAAGGAAAGAATTCAGAGGTTCCAAACTTGCGTCTTTTCACTAGTCCTAGCACTACCATGGTCAGAAAACACAGTAAAACACAGTGTTTTGTTGCGTTGTTCCATGCCCAATTCAAATCTCCACCAATGACCGCTCTTTAAATGTTCATTTGATTTTGAACAGGTTTTAATTGGGACTCAATACGGAAAAACTTGTTTAGAATCTTACTGGGAATTATGTCTGAGTTTAAAGCTTAAATAGAGTTCCTTTCCCAACATAATCTTACAATTCAATTAGAGCATAAGCATAAATTTACAAGGACATATTCCAAGCCTGTAGAAAGATTTAAGGTTTAATATTTCCTAGACAAGTCTTCTCTGCAAACCCGGGTCCAGGCCCGAGTGAAACCGATTGAAACCGACTGAAATGTCAGTCGAGCCTGGATTCAAGATCCCCTAGAAAAGTTTGGCCTGCAATCTTGAACATGAGCCTAGACTGAAACACGCGCAAAGTCCAATGTTGGATTGGGGGCTCGATTTAAACCGATTTAAACCGATTCACTATTCAATAATTTAGGCCAAGCTTGTCCAGGGAATCTTGAATCCAGGTCTCGACTCAAACCAATCGATTTAAGCCGATTTGAATTTAAATCGGTCATGGATTCAAGATTCAAGAATTTAGGCCAAACTTTTTCCAAAACATGAATCTTGAATCCAGGCCCGGTTCAAGTTTCAATCGGTTTAAATAGAGGTCCGGATTCAAGATTCCCTGGAAAAGTTTGGCCTGGATTCTTGAATCTTGAATCTTGACTCCAGGCCCGATTTAAATTCAAATCGGTTTGACTCGGTTTAAATCGAGCCAGAAGCTTCCAGAATGTCCTCTGAAACGCGTGTTTTTCATTGCTTTCCCCAAAGCCCAAAAAAGGGTAGAACACACTGCAAATACCAGTGAATTCTTCAAAAAGGTAGGTCCCGGGGGGGTACCATACATATATATATATATATATATTAGTATGTATATACTTATATATACACATATATGTATGGTCTCATGGTTTTCTCTCAGTCTCGTTATGGCGGTGTTACAGTTGATGTGCATTGCTGTTGAGACTTGCTCTCCAGTGGAGTTCGGCCTTGCATTGATCGTCCTCTTGCTGACTGGGGTCGGCAGGGGGTCGGCATTTTCAGGCTTGCCCTTTTATCAGCCTTTGCGGCAAGCTCGGGAAGGGAGCTTTTGGTTGTTGAGATGAGGAGCTTTTATGCGTTTGCCAACGCACTTTGAGTATAGCGAGGCCGTTCATGTCGGATGGCGCTTTCAAAACTCAAGTTGTCTTCAGAAAAAAGCGTTTGTGCACTTGCATTCTTGGTTGGAAGGCAACGCTCGTTTTCCAGGGATCTCCGATCTCCAGTCAGCTTTCACAGGATGGAATTGCAACCAGGACTTGAATGACACTTGAAGCTTTTATTCTGACAGTTGGTTTTCCTCAGAAAGAAATCCCCGGAGAATCCAAGCGCAGCCTGGTTCATTGTTGGACCTAGGGAGGCTTGCTTTTCTCATCAAGTCCGTCCCACTCAGGTCTGTCGGATGCCATTTTGTTTACCTCCCCTGCTTGGTTTGCCCTTCTAGCTTTATATCTTCGCGGATTTCAGGTAGCTGGTAGCTTGGCTCATTTCCTTTTTTTTGCAACGGGTAGCCCTTTTGGTAACTTGGTGTCTGGAAAATAAAGATGCCCTCATTGCTTGGTGGCCTTCGTCAAATGCCTATACAGCCACCCCAAAAAGGGTCCCCCCCCAAACAAGATACACGCATTTGAACATCACTCATAGCGGTAGGATGATCTCCGTTGCGCTCCTTGGGTCTGCAGCCAACCAAACAAGGGTCCCCCCAACATTGACAGTTGGTTGTGTCTTTGTTGGGATCACCAAAAGCCAAAAGTTGCCTTTCCATTTTGATTTTCCTGAAACAAAGCAGAACAAAATGTAGAGTTCAACAGGATACTTCGGATCCAAATCCTGCAGAGTTGGGATGGCGAGCCCATGAGTGGGTGAACCACCCTGGTGCCTGGCCTGGATTTCGTCAGGTTCTTCTGGTTCCCCCGCAGCTCACTCCCTGAAGCCTTCAAACTGTCTGGGACCTCAGTGGCAAAAGTTCACTCTCCATGCGGGGGTCTCGCGTTAACTGGATGTCGGAAATCCTTTTTGGCGGCCGGCATTTACAGGGAAACCATCGGTTTCACTAAAAAACCACCACTCCAAACCACAACTCAAGATTCAGCCGAATGTCGCCGTATTTCAGGTAGATGCAAGGGGCCAACAAAAACACACAGAAGTAGCCCCGGCTTCCCCATGTTCGATCCCGTTGCGAGACGGGTGAACCCTTCGTCGCAGGCTGGAGAAGTTGAAGTCGGAGCTCTCGGAGCAGCGGCAGCTCACCGAGGCTTTAGCCGGCCGGTCGGACAGGGCCAGTAGCCTTAGGACTTTTCGGCTTCTTTTTCTTGAGGCTTGAGACCGGGTGTTGCTGGGGATGTGATGTTAACATGAAAAATGATACAACACACTGTCTTTTTGGTTTTGCGGGGGGGATACCCCGAAATGGTGGCGTTCCCATTTGGGGTCCTTTTGGCTTCCACACAAAAGGAGTTAGAAAAAGACAGGCCCAGTGGGTGGCTGTTTTGGGTTGAAATCGGCCACTTTGGTTGTTTTTGGGAAGCCAAAAGGATACGAACCGTTCATAGGTATACAGATAACCACAAACCCACATTATACACATGCGAGCATACATACATACTGTACAGACAGACAGGCAGGCAGGCAAGTGGGAGGGATGTAGGCAAACGTGCAAACGGGCAGACAAGCAGAAAGACAGACATACATGCAAGCATACATGCGTACGCGCATGAATGAATGCATGTAAGCATGTGCTGGTGTGTGTGTGTGCGTCCTCACATCCCTACACGCATACACACATACATGTGTGCATGCATGCATGCATACATACAGACACACATTGACATACATATATACGTACGTACGTACGTACATACGTACACACGTACACACGTACATACGTACATACGTACATACGTACGTACGAACATACGTACATTCGTACATACGTACATACGTACATACGTACATACGTACATACGTACATACATACATACATACATACATACACACACACATACATACGTACATACATACATACATACATACATACATACATACATACATACATACATACATACATACATACATACATACATACATACATACATACATACACACATACACAAATACACACACATACACACATACACACATACACACACGCACTGCGTGGAACATACATTACTATTACATTACTATTACATTACTATTACATTACTACTACATTACTATTACATTACTATTACATTTCTATTACATTTCTATTACATTGCATTGCATTACATTGGATTAGCTTACATTGCATTACAATACAACACATACATACATGCATGACATACAAACGTACGTACATATGTGCATGCATGCATGCAATGCATTGCATACACACATTATATACATTGCATACATACCTTACCGTACCACACCATACCATACCATCCCGGACCATTCCATGCATGCATGCATGTATACCTTCATACCCACACATACACATACATGCAGAGATACTTAGATACGTGGATACATCGATACGTGGATGCATGGATACAATACACATACGTAGATACATTGATACATGGGTGCATACGTAGATAGATAAATACATACATAGATACATCATACGTTCTAAGGACGCAATGCAGACGTGTAACTAGCCTCACTTCACTGCTCAGAAATCCTCGGCTTCCCAAAGCCTGTTTGACTCTTGACTCATACTTCCTGTGAAGTGCGGTATTGAGGGAAACGATTGGTGTCACTCATTTGCAAGCACAGAAGACTGATTAAACATTTCGTTGTATGCCTGTGTGTACACGCATGCATGCATCTACCTATCTATCTATCTATCTATCAATCTATCTATCTATCTATCTATCTATCTATCTATCCATCTCTTTGTCTATCTATCTTTGCCTGTATTTCACTTGAGCAAATCGAACTGGTTCTTCGTGTGGCTTTGTCTCAATAGAGGCGATCTCCCAAAGCTGGTGCTTTCTCCCTAGAAAGAAGCACGCCTTCCAGCTGCCTCCAGGCCATCGAGAAGGAGAAGAGTCACGTGGAGCTGGGCGGGTCGCGGCAAAGCCAGGACCCGTTGGGGCTTGGAACCCGCGAGAAGCGCGAGACCACCCCCTGCATTTGGAGGGAGGTGCTACTTGCTGTTTTTTTTACAGGAAATCCATGCAAGCCATCATTTATGTCAACATGTATCAACCCTTGCAGCCATCTTGGTAGAGTCAAAAGAAGAGGTGTTGGGAGTTGTTCGATTTGGGTTTTCATCGGCTGATGTGACTTATCTTGGTAATTGTGGTCGCATCAGTTGCGAGCTAGTTTGCATTGCATGCTCCCCCTGCCATTCTGTAGAGGAAACCCATCGTCTTTGAATCATCACGCATGTTCGTCCGTGCTTCATGAGTAGCTTCCTCACTCGTGCCTTTTCTACGGTGAGGAACATTTCTAGCTTGTTCACAACCTAATCCACAATGAGAAGCAGATTGTGGATTATGCGGTTTACGGATTAGATCATGCGGCTTGCGCTCTAGCACGAGGTTTTGACCAACAATTTGCAGGGCGGAGGTCAGATTTAAGAAGGTTACGCGTTGTGATTATGCCCACGTGATTTCGATCAGGCTGGAATCTGCTTGGTCGCTGCGCATTGGATTGAATGCATGTCTCTCTGGGTGTCCCAAAGTTTTCTGGCTTTATTCGGGATGCAGAGGCAGGGCTTGGCTTGTGACTTTTCGGAGAGACAAACAGAATCAAACAACACCTGAACTGGGGCCTCACAAGGGGAAGAAACAACCCCTTGTTGAAAGACAGCCCGCTTTGGTTGAAGCAAACCCATTGTTTGGTGTTGGGGCAAAACCCAGCTTTAGTTGAGTAATGTTGGACCTGCTTTAATGTGACCCCGCCCCCTACAACAGTGGAACCAGTCTTCTGCACCCTCTTTAGGGATATTCCGGGGTGCCTGGGATGGACAGTACTTGCTTTCGCATTGCCAATTCTACTTCACTATTGCCAAGGCCGACTCTCAGATTCCCAGTACTTACTTTAGTATTGCCAAGGCCGACTCTCAAATTCCCATTGCTTACTTTAGTATTGCCAATTCTACTTTAGTATTGGCAAGGCTGACTGTCAGATTCCCAGTACTTACTTTAGTAACTTTAGTATTGCCAAGACCAACTCTCAGATTCTCAGTACTTACTTTAGTATTGCCAATTCTACTTTAGTATTGCCAAGGCTGTTACTTTAGTATTGCTACTTTAGTATTGCCAAGGCCGACTTTCCAATTCCCAGTACTTACTTTAGTATTGCCAATTCTACTTAAGTATTGCCGAGGCGGTCTCTCAGATTCCCAGTACTTACTTTAGTATTGCCACTTCTACTTTAGTATTGCCACGGCCCGTTCTTGCAGCAACCTCCCCAAAACGGTTGGACACTAAAGAGGACCCCAAAACAGTCACATTAAAGAGGCTGATTCTGGGAATCATTGTAAATGATCAAACAACAACTTGCGAGCATCTTCCGAGTAAATGCTCACATGGAAAAGTATCGGCAATATGTTGTGTGTTGTCAATGTTATGCCCAAGAGCCACATATACATATATATATATATATATGTGTCTACATTTACATATACATGTACTGTGTATATTTATATACACATGCATGAGTATGCCAATAAATTGCAATTGCACCAAGACCATCAGTACTCTTTAAAGTGTTTTGACTAGGTCTTCATGGCTTGCCAAATGTCCATTCAACATTTCGGCTCAGCTGCGATGCATGTGAAGAGTATCGGTACGTTTGCGAAGTCCCAATATGAAGCTCGTCCTCCTGCTCTCTTGGTGGCAGGCGGGTTCGGGCAACATGTGTGGAACAATCTGACCCTTGGCCTCTTTGAAGGGAAGCAAACAGAAGGGGAGCCAAAGAGGGTTTAAACACATGGGTGAGTGGTGTTTCTCAAAAATGTTGACTGCCTAAACAAATGGTTTCCTTTTGGTTTTCCTTTAACTACCAAATAAAAGGGGGTCCGAAGTCCACTTTGAGAACCTCCCCACGTGGCGTTTCAACATGTTAGGGCTTTCGACAGGCCTTCTCCATCCGTCAGCAGAGCACTTGGAACAATTGCGAGTGGCCCCAGAGGTGCTGTGCGACCCCCAGATGTGATGGGCAGCGACAGTCCCATGACAAGGGCTCCTTTGTGGACGGAGCCGAGTTATATGAGTGCGAAGTGACCCCCGGGGCATATTCAATTCCAAAATGGACTGCGGGAGGGAAACAATTTCATGACAAGCATGCCACTGCCGACGAGATGAACGTGTATATCACCAGCAAACGAAATTTTCAGGTGTTGTCGCAACTACCTGACTCCAACTACGTGTGTGAGGAGAAATGTGGCATCCGTTACCCCAATACGACATCGTTCTTTGACAAGACGATCATCAAGGTCTACCGTTCGGGTGGAGTTGCTGGAGATCCTCCTCTATGCGTGAAAGAGTCCCCGGTGAGACCAGAATCAAGCTACTTCACGCCAACACGGATCGAGGTGTCCAAGCTCGAGAAGCTGAAAGCCAAGGCAAAAGCCTGGTTCGGCAGCTAGGCTGTTTTCGTCTAGGTGGTTTCCGTCTAAAGGACGCGAAAGAGTGTGGCTGCCATTGTTGCCCTGGGCTGACAAGGAAAACGTCGCGTGGCATGGGTGTCGAGGATTTGCATCAGTGGTTTTCCATGGCACGAAGCTTCAAAATGGGTATCTGATCAAAGTAGGGGGACCCCCAAAATGGTGGCTTCCCTTTTGGTTCCCCTAAATCAGCCTGAAAAAGGGTGCCCTGAAAAAAGCGCAGCCAAATTCAGAAGAAACAAAACGGGGAAGTCCCCCATTTTGCTACTGCACGTGCAGTTGCAGGAGCACACCTCCAAGATCCGGAACCTGCGGTCGATGTCCAAGCAGCTCTCCGCGGGAGCCCCGAGTTGGACCATGAAGCTTCGCGGTTGGGATGGTCCCGGTGTGAGAATTGCGGCTGGATGTTTTTGAAGGCCGAGAGGTTCCGCAAAGATCAGGATCTGGCAAAAGATGGCTCAAGCCCGATGGTGCATGGGGGGCTTTGTTCGCTTTCTTCTACTCAGAGTCAAGCAACGATGATTGACAAGGTCTCCTGACCCCATCTATCACAAGTTTTGTATCGTTGCCTTAGCCAGGGGTTCAAGTCTTCGGTGAAGCTTCTGGCTTTGGGCTGGACGCTCGCCAGCAAGGCACTCGCCCCGGGTTGCAACATAGTGCACCCGATTGAAACCCTCAAAAGAGCCTGGTGAGAATCATCCCGATTGCAAAGCCTTTGCGTTTCAAGAACTCATTGCATGGAAGCCTTTGGGGATTCTACAATAGTCCAATGGTTGTTTGGTTTTGGGTGGGGGCTCCAATCTGTTTCAAATATTTGGTCTTCTTTGAATCGTGTTCCTTGAGTTTTCTCCCGGACCATTCTGGAGCCACTGTATTGTTTTGTCTGTGCGTTTTTTTTTTTTTGTTTGTCCAAAGTGTAGATGTCAATTGTTTTCCAGATGCCCCTGGCACTTTCCTTGGAGTTTCCCCTCTCCCGTCGGGTCGCCTCCCGTCCCGCCTTTGCGCTCAGCGTTGCGCTCAGCGCGCCTACCGCGCCCGAGTTCCAGTTGGAGGCCTCGGAGCAGCGCATCGAGTCCTTGGAGTCCACCAGCACCTCGGCTTACCAAACGTAGGCAGACAGGCGCCGTAGGCAGATGCAAAAGGGTATCCCGGGATCCCTTGGTTCTTTTTCGGGAACACGGCTTGAGAGTCTTGATCTCATGTTGGGATTGTTTCAGGTTTTGATTTGATCTCTTGTGGTGTCCTTTGGCTTTCCTGTTGGGGTTCCTTAGGTTTCCTTTCGTTTCCGATGAGCTTCTCTTTGTTGTGGTTTGTTTTGTTTATGCAACCATCCAGAAAGGGGCTCCTAGTTGAAGTAACATGGGTGTGTGTCAAGATTGGTAACGCCCTGTTGGTCCTTGTTGAAGGCAACCGCCTGGAAGGGTTGAACGCTTTTCACGCACAGCCAGTTGCCTCAAAGCGGTTCTGGCCAGATTTGGGACGTCACACTCCAAGTGTTTAGGTGTCAACTTAAGGGGACCCCCGCCCAGAATGGCGGTTTTCCTCTAAACAACCAAGTGACAAGGCAACTTCGTGAAAAGCACTCAGACAAATACCACAGTGTGACGATGCCTTTGATAAGTGGACCACTTGGTTTAGATCCAGTCCGCCCAAGAAAGCCCGCACAAATCTGGCCAGCAAGATCGAATTATAATAACTGGATCTGTGTAGATGACACAAGCCGCAGGGACAAGGGGCACAACAAACTCGACAAAGCCAGCGCGCGACGGATAGCTGCCTTCAGCTGCTAGACTTTGCCAAATCAATCTGCATGGATCTTGGGCATGGATCTGACTTGCCAGATTGAAAGGGGCCTGTTGCCCCCTCGCTCTTTTCCGAGGGGTCGGAAACACGCCTTATGAAACACCGAAGCCACGCAGAGGCAAACACCTTCAATCCTATGCTTCAATCGCCACGAGCGCTGGTGCTCTGTCGACTTCAAATTGTTTTCGACGGCTCAAGTGAGGGCCATCCAAAAGGAGGGGGATGGGGTGCTTGTAGAAGTTCAAGGCCGGAAACGATTCTCTGGAAGGAATCGCCATGAACCTTGGTCGAATATGGAACTCTCGATTCAGAGTTGTTTTTTTCTTAAGCCAGCCCATAGTTGACCGACCAGCCGCGTGGTTTGCAAAATGATTTGCTAGCTTGGCAACCGGGGGCCGTGTTCATTAACGACGCCATACCACTCCCATCCATGACAGGAATGGGAATTATGCCAAGCATTGGTCCGCAACTAGCCCTTACGAGCTCACGGTTTCGCGATGCGCCGTTGAGCTGCCAGTGAGTCCAGTCAGGAATTTTCATTTGGCTTACCTTTTGGACTTGTTGTTGTGTTGCTTCTTGTTCAACGAGAGAGCTTTTTGCAGGGGTTGAAAGTGTGGCCCACTTGTTTGGCTCATGATTCTGCCAAAGCACACAAAGGAGCCAATAGGAGCCATCCGAGCAGCAAGCAAGCCTTCCCTTTGTTTGTGTCTAGACCTGACATGAGCAAGCAGTCCTGAATCACAATGCTTCAGATCACCCTTTATAGCATGTAAGCGAGGGTGAGGTTCCTTATGCTTCGCCCGGTGTGACAAGAACACAGCTACAATTGCTTTGGTTTTGCGTTCCTGAGTTTTTGAAAGCGTTACTTGACTTTTGATGCCATTCTTTGGTGCATTCAGGTGGGAAGTCTTTGACCTGGGATAGGATAGACTTGCAAATCACATACTTGATCCCTAAAGGTGAACATCTTGAGCGCTTTGTGGGAGGTCCCATGAATCCACTATTCGGAGGGTCATTTTGTGGATGTCACTTTTTGGACCCCGCCACGGATGTCGTTGGGGACTGAGGTGAATCCCATGTGAACAACCTAGCTTCTTCGGAGGCCGGAAACGGCCAAGTTGGCAGGACTTCGCTCATCATGTGGCCCCCATAGGCCATAATTGTTGCTTTCCAAGAGAAACCAAGGAAGGGATGGGTGTTTTTTTTTATTTAGATCCCCCATTTAGCACCCGGTCAAGCTGGTTGTGCTTATGGTTTCTCTGGAACCCACCTGCAATTGGGGGGGTAGTTCTTGGCCTTTGTCAATCTTCAGGGGTGTGAAGTGTGACGGTGTGATGTGTCTTCTACCAAGCACACCACTTGCATGTCAAGCAACTCTCAACCAGTGGTGGAAAACCTGTCGCTGTGGAGCAGTCAGCTGGTGTTTTTTGGGCTCACCGTCTATACATCACCGTACATTACGGTTGAACGCATGTCGACAACTTGGTCGGCAATGCACACGGGCTGCAAAGGCTTTTGAATGCCTTTGATCACTTCCAAGGAACTTGGGCGTGATGCCATCTGCTTGGTCTTTCTGTGTAGCCATCACATGGCAATGGTCTGTTATAATCTGTTATAGCCACGTGCTACAGAGGCTTGAGTCCACCATGCCACCCAGGCTCCAGCTGCCAAAGCGGGAGCATGTACTCCAACCGTAGAGCCTGCAACAATACCACACAACCTGCAGCCGCTCGTTTGCCGCTCCGTGAAAAGTACAACAGGTAAGATGCACTCTTGATGCTACTCGGTTGGCCTTGCTTAAGCCTTGCAAAGTCGGGACCGCCATTCAGGGAGTTCTTTTGTGTGCCCTGTCTCTTAGACCTCTTGGGTCGGTGACATGTTCTGGGCGTTCACAGGCTGCTGCACAGCAGCATCGCGAGCTGCTTGAGGCGATCGGGCTCGTTTCGGCGGCCGGTTGGCGCCATAGTGTTTGTCCCAAAGAGAACCGCCAGGATATCTGGAAAGAAAGGATTCGATCCCGACGAAGCCGAAGCAAGCCACAGGGAAAAGTTTGATCTTAACGGCCAGACACGACTCAAGGACGCAAAAACTTTGTAAATGGAGCGCAGACAATCAACATTTGGGTTTTATCTCTGAATGGAGAACTCCCAACTTGGGTGTCCATTTGGTTTCAATAACCCCAAAATGGGTTCTCTCCAGAAAGACACCGCTTTGGGTGATTGTGGTCGCGACAACTGCCCTCGAGTCAAAGCAGAAACCCGAAGCCTTGTCAGGGTATCACTCTCAACCGACAGAACAAAGAGAGGTACTGTTTATGCTGTAGTTCATTTCCGTCGTGAGTTCTCTTCTGGCTTTGGATGTCGGGGCGTGGTTGTCACGTCGAAAGCTTCACATGGGCGCCCCAAGCCAACGTTCTGACTCTTGTGCTTTCCCAGCTAGTTCCCCCCCACAAAACATGGCCAGCCGAAAGAGCCCCAGCGCCTCTTAGCTGGGCAGGCTCTTTTTGTCCGCCTCTCACGGAACCTATCGGACCATTGGCCCATATGGCCAGTGTCTTCACATTTTTCCTTTGAGGGAGGCTCAAGTATCACCTTTTAGCCTAATTGTAATAGAGTTTCTCCCCTGGGGTGATGGTTGAAGGGTTTATGAAACCCCATGCCTGGCTTGCTCGGATGCATCACTTGAATGGACTGGAGCTTGCAGAACCCTGCCCCCGCCCCCACGGGGCAGATTCATGTGGCAACGGGTCAAGATGAAAGCGACGATGCTTCTGCCTTACACTTGTTTGTCAATCGCGACAGGGGGAGTAAAAGATGAAGCTGAATCTCCCTTGGGCTTGACCCTCAGCAGGGCTCCTTAAAAGATACATTTTGCCCATTTGAAACATGGCTTTTTCCACCAAAATAAAAGAAAACCACCATTTCCAAGGCAATGTTCAGGTGTATAATGTAAGGATCCCTGCTCAGGCTATCTCCTCCCAAAGCAGAGGACTCTGATATTGACTGCACCTCGCCTACTCCCCTACAAACATGGAAACAGCCAAACACCTGTGCTAGATGACAACAACGTTAAAGCATTGGTTAAGCCCATTTGCTTCAAGCCGACCTGTTTGCCGATTGCTTTATCCCCTTCCGAAAGCTAGGGTGCTAGCAGACCATAATGTTTTTGTAATTTCGCCCAAGGAACATGTTACAAGGCGATATATGTTGTTCAGATCCCGATATTTAGGTCCCAGGAAGGCCTTGCCGCCATTTACAGTGGCCTTGAGCGAGGCGTTCAAAGTAGGCACCGCTTGGGAACGGACCTGGGAGCCCAGCCAGTGAGGCTTCCTATCCGTGCTTCGTATGGCCGTCAAAGAAGCCTTCGATCTTGTCGCTTCTAGTCGGGCCGTCGGGCCCCTTTCTCGGCCCGTGGCTTGTAGATTGGCTGTTCCTTTCAAGGGATCCCCACGCTGACCTAAGGCCTCAAGGGCGCTTAGGGCCTCAAAGGCGCCTTACCCGATCTCAGCCAATCGCCAACCCACCCCTCAGGAGCGCGCTCAAGCAGCAGAAAGCTGGGGCCAGGAGCGCTGGGTTCTCCTGCACCGAATGGATGAGAGCACTTTTCAAAGAGACTTGCAGAGGTCCCCCAAAATGGTTGGTTTCCATTTGTTTCCTTTCAAAGATAAAACTCCAACTGGGTCCGGTATGCATTTTGAGAAATCCTCAGAAAATAAAGGTATAAACATATCCAATACGTTGCTTCATTGCTGATTTAAGCGACGCCTTGTGGACGTTCAAAAGGAAAGGATGGGTGAAGGCATAAAGGCACGCAGAAAAACAGGCCTATATGTGCCAGGCCGGGTGTGGTTTGGAGTTGGTTTAGGGTTGGTTTAGGGTTGGTTCAGGGTTGGCTTACGGTGGGTTGAGGGTGGGTATTGGGGTTCGGGTTGATTTGGGGTTAGGGTTGGGGTGAAGGTAGGGGTTGGGGTGGTTTAGAGTACGATGTTGCGAGAGGTGGTTCACGGGGTGAAAGGGCCCCAGCATTGCCAGCATCATCCCCACGATGCAGATGATGCGGGGGAGGACGGGACTGGAACCTATGTAACATCAACTGGCGTAAAGGCATGCAGAGTTCCCTTGGGCACAATAAGCATTTGTGGTGATGCAATCAACATGTGAGATACGGCGGGCGACTAAAAACTGGACTTGTGGATTCATCCCACTCATCCTTCTTTGAAAATCCCGCTCCCCATGTACTCTGGCGGTAAGTCATGGTTCTGCATATGTCCCCTTCCCAAAGTTATCTTGGCCAAACAGTCGTGATTTCTGGTATGTGTCACCATTACGGGGACCCCCTGTTGGCAACCATATTTGAGCCAAGACAAGGGTGTGGCTCAAAAGTAAACAGGAGGGGTTACGCAGGTTTTGGTTTCCACCAGGGTTCCATTTTGGGTACCGGTTTTTTTGAGCCACAGCCAAATAAACGGAGTACTGACCCCCAGAAAGCGCTCCGACCGGCCGCAGGAGCTGGCCAAGCGCCTGCAGAGCGCGGAGGAGCGGCACCAGCAGCTGCACCAGGAGCGCGAGGCGCAGTCGAGAGGGGCTGAAGTCGGGGGGAAAACATGGTCCTTGAGACTCAGCCTGAAAGAAAAGGCTCCAAATGGCCAGTTCTCTACATTTGAACTAAAATGTGTTTTTTTTTTTATACAAACTTTATCAACGCAATGTTGCTTCTGGAGCTCCAAATGGCAAGTTCTCTACATTTGCACTAAAATGTGTCTTCAAAATGCTGTCTCCAAAATTTCGCTTCTGGAGCTCCAAACGGCCAGTTCTCGTCCGAAAGGAGGTTGTTAGTGTGGAAACCTCCAATCCAGCACGCACGCGATAGGAATCATCGAGGCCAAAGCCAGGGGCTGCTGGCATGGCTGGCTCAGGCACCCTGCAAGCCCCAAGCTAGGCACGTTGAGCAGGGGAAAATCCCAGCCTCTTTGAACCTGAACAAAGCTGGACAATGAAGCCCTGCTTCAAGCAATTCTTCAGGGGGAGAAGCATTACATATCTATGAAATCAAGATTAGAGTACCCCGCAACTCCAAGGTGCTCATTAATTTTACGTATCAGATTTATTCTATGATCATTCTGGCTCTCAACCCAAGATGCCCCACTGGCTGGGGTTCGGAACCTGCGGCAGGTACACCACAAGAGGAGCCAAGGGCATCTGGCGGAGGCCAGCTTTCGGTTCGGGCCCGGTGCCACTAGTTTCGTGTAGGGACGGGGTTCCTGGAGACAACAACATAGGAGTGTGACGTTTGTTGGGCACCCCCAAAATGTCTTCGCTTTTCCTTTTGGTTCCTCTCTAACACCACACAAATGGGGTGCCATCAAAAAAAGACGAGCAGTCCATGTTCAAGTTGTGCTCCTTATTTTTTTTTCCCATGGCCACTGCTGGGAGGTGGGTACCCCTCATATAAGATTTCATAAGCCCGAGCGTTCATCCCTTCTCTTCAATGATAAATATGGCCCCCCTAACAAGACTATCCGCGTGAGGGCGGAGCAGTATTTTTTGCTAGGTTGCATTAGGGTAGGGGGGGGGGATTCTCTACTGTGCTCGTCCAAATAGAGCCTTTTCCGGGTTGTGGTGAAGCATGGTATGGCTGAGTCCCTGATCGAAAACTCAATTTCATAATACATGTGGAACGCGGCAAAGGATCATGCACGAAGATTCCTTTGTTGTGTGTCACGTTCCGCTTATTCATGGCCTTTGGCTGAGGGGGGGTACAACATGTATGTTGTGCACACACACAGATGTATCCTTGTGGGGGGGGGGGTTAAGAAACCCTGCTTGGTGATGTGTGTTTCGGATGTTCTCCTCCATGTAGATAGAATAGATCAGAGGTTTGAGACTTGAAATGTTTGGTGTTTTGAAAAAGCCACCTTGTGAGCGAGCACAAACAAATGTTTATGCTATCATGTCACCTGTGGTTCCAGACGTCTTATTGTGACGCTCACTAAGACGAATAGTTTCCCTCCAGCGAAACTGACAACATGTGTGGTAGACTGACATGCAACTGATGACTAAGATAGGTTTCACAAAATATTATTTACATGTTTATGAGTATTATGTATGATGTAGGTGAATGTCACATACAACACGTACATGTACCCAATGGATCTACATATTATATATATATAGAGAGATACACGTTCAATCGTGTAGGTACATGCATACACCTCAATATGTTGTACACGGCGGTGATTCTACATGTATAATTTGTATTTCACCGGTCGCAGGCAGCTCTTGGCCAGACTGGCAGGCTCAGGACTTCAGCTTGAGGCTGATGCATGCCGTGGAACGGCAGGCGCGGGGGGTTGGCGATGGAATGGCTGGGTTCCTGGGTGTGGAGGCGCTCGCAAGATGATGTGTGCCTTTGGTGTAGGGAACATGTGCGTTGCGACGTTTTGTTGGGCTCATTTGCTAAGGTAGTGAGATCATCATGTGAGCGACTAGCAAAATTATTAGCAGTCTACTGTTGGTTTGTGGAGGATGTGGGAGGACAATCCAAATGTTCAAGAAAACCAAGTAAAGCAAGCATTGTTCGAATGTTCTCTGGTGGAAACCTGTAATTTTGTCTGGGTCGCTCGTGGCTCCACCCTCTTGCCTGGGCAAGGCCAGCATGGCCAACTTGTCGGTGTTTAAGCGTTGGGCAATACCAAACAGAGACAAACAAGAGGCTGACCTTCTGTTTGAAGAGGTTTGACTACAGCAGCCTCGAGTCAGATGCAACGGGATTATTGCTGTTTGTATTGGCCATGTGATTGGTCATCGACAAGAAGGATCGCCTCCCGCCCTTTTGCAATGACGTTGGGGTTGCGATACCTTTCGGGGAAGGGCTTGGGGGGACCCTGTATTCAGTATTCAATTGGGAATTCGATCCCCCAATGATTTGAAGCCGATGGGACCTAGGAGCACCTAGGGGTAACTTGGTTGTTTTGGGCATAGGATCATATATGGTTGGAATGTTCTTTCTGGAAAGTTTCAACAGAAATCCACCATGCATTTGGACGTCTCTAATTTGGACGCGCTCTTTGCTTTCATACGGGCCTCCGTAAAGAGGTTGCTCTACGCCTACGCTTTGGAGAGTACGTCATACAGGTGTGGAAATACTTCCCAGATGGGGAATCAGTGGGGGTTCCTTGAGATTCCGACCGGAAAAGGGCAGGTCCTTGGTTTGCTATAGGAAACCACTGGTTGCAATACAACAAAACAGAAATGCGTGTTTCCCAAAACCAAGCAGCCCCCGAAAAGGTTGGAAATCCCCAACGTCCAAGCCCAAGGTGGGCCCTCTAAATCAATCAGCCAAAAAGTGTCTTGCTTCATGCTGCATCATGGGCTGGGGTTGGCAACCATGGGGAAAGCACCTTTTTTGGTGATGGTTTGGGCAGAGTCAAGAAGAAACCGCACGCTTCATTTAAGGAAGCAACCTTTTAAAAGGTCACCCTTGGACCTTTCGGCAAATGACCAACTCCGCCCTACGAATCGGCCAAAAGGTCAATGACCATCCCAGTTTACGGCGCATGCATCTGGATTGCCCATCCAAAATCGATTGAATCCAGCCGACACCAGGCAGCCTCCGTTATTCCAATTTGAAAGAGGAGTAGGCGTCGGTCAAGCAGTGAGCTGTGCGATATCCGCATCGTCAGCACTTTCTCTATTGTCCAAAGACAACCTTGTCACCTGTCGGTGTTCCAGTGTTGACCCCTTTTTGATTGCATTTTGGCCCCAGAAGGTTTACGCATGTGTTGGCATGTTTGGATCTGATTCTTGATGTTTGAAGTCATGAGCAGACTGTTGTATGCTGTGTTTGCACAGGCTCCTTTTGTGATAGAGTAGCTTCGCCGTCCGTGCGGACATCCCTTCAGGGGGGCCGCGGCGCGCGGATGGATGCTGCAAGCACGGAGGTTCCCTATACGTCCCTTGTTAACGTCACGTGTTTGGCCAAGTTCAAAAGGGAGACATCCCAAAGGGCGAAGGGCTCCTTCGATTTCCCCTCCAGGTGGCCGAGATCCTGGCCATGGCCGGAGCTCCGGAGGCAGGTGAGCGTTTTTCAGGGTTTAGACAGAAAGCTGTGCTATCAAGGGAACACGTGGTGTTTGTTGGTTTATTTTGGGACCTGGACAAGATTTTAGGGGATTCATGTCCAGAAAACTGAAATGAGGTGGTTCCAATGGCAGCCACAAATTCAGGTTTGTGGGTTGGTCTAATTGAGTTGGAAAAGTGAAGGACTGTTTGGTAAGAGCTACAAGAGATGCAGAGAGCTTGTCAGAGGTCCCTTGGGCAGATTTGGTGAACCTGATCAATATTAACCAGGCTCCCGCCTGCTGCCGCCGACCCTCGGCGCATTAAGGGAAAAGTCACAAGGACCGGTCCTGAAACACGTCCGCAAACCCAGGGACCACTTATAAGATCCTCTACGACCACAAACAAGGATTAACGGAAAAGTCAGAAATAGGGCAGCTAGTCCGTTAATTACCGCTTGGGCCGGGTTGCGCCCAAGTCACTTCGAGTTGGCCCGGGAGCAGTCGCCTCTCCCGGGGTCGCCCTGAAACTGGCCCTCCCGAAGTTGACCACAAACAAGGATTAACGGAAAAGTCAGAAATAGGGCAGCTAGTCCGTTAATTACCACTTGGGCCGGCTTGCGCCCAAGTCACTTCGAGTTGGCCGGGAGCAGTCGCCTCTCCCGGGGTCGCCCTGAAACTGGCCCTCCCGAAGTTGCCCTGGACCGGTCGCCGGCAGCAGGCTGGTCCCAGTCTGGCGCGGTTTGACTTGACGTATTGGACTCTCTTGCAGAATAGATCCAGGGATCCTCTACTACCACAAGGACGTCAATAACCGCACGGGCCGGTTTGGTGACGACCTGGGACCCTGTCCAGCGTTCTGGGTGCCAGTCCGGAAAGGTGTCTGGAGCGGTTTGAGGTGGCATTGAATTGGGACCCAATACCAGCGGTCACACCAGGACTCGATCCCGGACCGGCTTCCCAGACCGGTCCCAGGACTGGTCCTGGGACCGGTCCCAGGACCAGTCGCCGGTCCTGGGACTGGGACCAGTCCCAGGACCGGTCCCAGGACTGGTCCCAGGACTGGTCCTGGGACCAGGACCAAACCCCGGTCCTGGGACTGTCCAGGACTGGTTGGGACCGGTCCTGGGACTGGTCCCGGGACTGGTCCTGGGACCGGTCCCGGGAGTCCCAGGACCGGTTTTGGCTGACTACAAGTAATCTAAAACAGACCGGTCCCAGGACTGGTCCCAGGACTGGTCCCAGGACCGGTCCCGGGACCGGTCCCGGGACCGGGCGTGTCCTTCAGGGACTATCATTAATTCCAATCACTTCCAGTTGCATCCCACGCCGGTCCCCTCTGCAGGAGGCTGGGACGGGAGGCAGAGGGTCGGCGGATTTTTACTGTAATTAGCTGGTTTCTTTGGCATACAAGTACGGACAGTTTGGAAGGGGCGAAGATCAGTACGAAGCACACACGGCTGTCCTTTGGCACAAGTGACTGGAATCCGTTTGTTGTAGAACCCTTTTAGGGCCCATTGAAGCGCTGAAGAAACACATTCAAAGTTCCCACAGCTGAGCCCGAACTTGAAAGATTCGTCGGAGCCTTTGCGGGTCCATGTTTGTCAGGGTCTCAGCTATTCAATACATGTGGATCTCGTGGCGTGTATTGTGAGAAGCTCTGGTGTTCGTGGCTTCCTATTGCCGTTCCCTTTCAACAGATACCGGCGAATTCGTTCGGGCACAGCCCTCCTGGGCCATTTTCAGGCGCCCGGACTCTTCGAGCGCCGCGCCGAGGGGGAGCCGCCGGAGGCGGGTTCGGAAATCTTCAAGTAGAAGTCTTGCCTCAGTTTTCCCGGCTTTAGTTTTGCCTAGCTCCAGAGTTAGATGTGTAATGTCCAATCGGGATTAGTAAAGGGGGGTCCCCCCCTCCAACGATTTCGGGCACCTGGAATAGTATCTTGAGATCCAGTTCAAGTGAGTTTCCATTTGATTTAGTATTGCTGGAGCTTCCTTTGGAGATTAGGAACTGAGTTTCCATTTGATTTAGTATTGCTGGAGCTTCCTTTTGAGATTTGGAACTGAGTTTCCATTTGATTTAGTATTGGTAGACTTGAGTTTCCATTTGATTTAGTATTGCTGGAGCTTCCTTTTGAGATTTGGAACTGAATTTCCATTTGATTTAGTATTGCTGGAGCTTCCTTTTGAGATTTGGAACTGAGCTTCCATTTGATTTAGTATTGGCAGACTTGAGTTTCCATTTGATTTAGTATTGCTGGAGCTTCCTTTTGAGATTTGGAACTGGGTTTCCATTTGATTTAGTATTGCTGGAGCTTCCTTTTGAGCTTCCTAAGAGGTAACTGCAATTCGGGAGTTGCATTTTTCAGGGGGGCCAATGCATCAAGACTTTACGATAGGGGCCCCTGGAATAAAGTCTTGGGCTTAAAATTTGGGGGGCTGAGGTACTACCCCCTTTGTGGGTTTGATGGTGGGCAGGTTTTCAGCAAGAAACACGTAAGGAAACTTGAGTTTGGGGAAGGTCTGCAGTTTGGATTTTGGGAAGAAAGAAGCAAGCTTCACCAGCATCACCTGGGATTGTTTTTGAAATTGGCTAGCTGGTTAGCTAAGAGGTAACTGCAATTCGGGAGTTGCATTTTTCAGGGGGGGCAATGCATCAAGACTTTATTATAGGGGCCCCTGGAATAAAGTCTTGGGCTTAAAATTTGGGGGGTTGAAGTACTACCCCCTTTGTGGGTTTGACGGTGGGCAGTTTTTTGAACAAGAGACACGTAAGGAAACTTGAGTTTGGGCAAGGTCTGCAGTTTGGATTTTGGGAAGAAAGAAGCAAGCTTCACCAGCATCACCTTGCATTGTTTTTGAATTGGGCCAGTTGGTTAGCTAAGAGGTAACTGCAATTAGGGAGTTGCATTTTTCAGGGGGGCCAATGCATCAAGACTTTATTATAGGGGCCCCTGGAATAAAGTCTTGGGCTTAAAATTTGGGGGGCTGAAGTACTACCCCCTTTGTGGGTTTGATGGTGGGCAGTTTTTAAACAGGAGACATGTAAGGAAACTTGAGTTTGGGGAAGGTCTGCAGTTTGGATTTTGGGAAGAAAGCAGCAAGCTTCACCAGCATCACCTGGGATTGTTTTGAATTTGCCTGGCTATCTCTCCTCTCCTTCCTCTCCTTCCTCTCCTTGTTTTTTGTTTTTTCTTCTGGATAAAAATGGGCAGGGGTGGCGGGTGCTTGTCTTTGTTCTAGGTGCATTTACTAATTATTTTGGGCCCCCCATTTGTTTTTATTCCAGGTGCATTTTCTAATCCTACGTGGACATTAGTTCCAGACAAAAGTCAGATGTGTAATTCCACCGTTCATCAAATGTTGGTTGTCAGTTGGAGCGACAGGTCCTCGCGACACGCGCCTTCACCGTGGTGTCCAAGGCGGTGGCGGGATTGGTGCGGGAGACCCTTGGCGGAGTAGGATCCGAGAGCCGAGAGATGGGGATGTAGAACGAAAACAAGATGAATCCCTTTAGCTGGCCTCAAAAAGGCCTAAAGGACACCTTTGCCATGTGGAAAAGTTTGGTTTTGGGACACATGTGCTGCCATGCAATCCTTTGCTCCCCGGTTGCTTCTGGGCTTTCCATAGCGAACTTCAAGCGGAGCACGTAGGAGTCCGGTGGGACGGAGAGCCGGAAGTCGAGTCAAATTGGTTCGAGACCGACCCGGCCCAAGCAGTTGGGTAGGGCAAGAATTCTTTCAGATTTGCCCTGAACCTGACTTTGGCTTGGAAGCTCGGAAGTTCGAGTTCGCAAGGCATTCAAGGTGGCCTAGACCGTGGATGGGACGAGTTTGTTCATCTAGTCCCAGAGGGTCCAAGGTATTTTTTGAGGATGTTCTGAAGGGCCGAAAGGCAAGGCACCTGGACCCTTATGTATCGCGCACCAGGCTCACATGTTGTGAAATACTAAATTTCGACTTCCTGAATCCCAAGTTGAGATGCGCCTTAATCGCACCAAACGGGCTGGACCTGGGGCGCAAGTCACCTACGCCAGCCAAGGAACGCGGAGATCCGCGCCAGTAGCGGGATGCCTCGCAAAGCCTTGAGGCGCGATACAGGATATGGTCAATCGGCGGGTCATCTTTGCGCCTTCGTGAACAATCAAACAGAAGGAGCACGGAAGTGACAGAAGTAAGTAAGCAAGCAAGCACCCAAGCAAGCAACAAAGCGGGCAACTAAACTAGCGAGCAAAGTTCTCAAGAATCATTATGATAGATCTTGATTGGACCATGATGCAATTGTGAACCAAGGAGCACAAAGGAACACCCTGAAACGAACAGCACCCCGCCATTCAATGCGCCACATGTTACGATCGCAGTCCATATTTACAGACCATTTGCTTTGAAGCCGCGCACAGTCCCGCCGAACAAGCACAAGACCATCACAAGCCAAAGGCGTGCCAACCAGATAAAGCAAAGCGTGTCATTTGATTCTCTGAAGGAATCGCTGCACAAGTAGGTTGCCTAATGCGGGACCCCACCAAATGATAATGGTCTGAAATTCCCAACAACCCAACCGGGACAAAACAAAGCGACTACAACCAACATCGCCGATCTGCAGCAAGAACTACCGAAGGGTTGTTTGCTTGTTTGTTTGGTTGTTTGTTTGTTTGCGTGTTTGTTGGATCGTTCGTTGCGAATGTCTGTGTGTGTGTGCGTGTGTGCTGCTGTT